AAAAAAAAGCACACAGATATAAAGAACACGTGTCCATTAAGAATTGCACCTGTAATAAGATCTGGATAGCCCTGCTGCAGAATGATGGTGAGCATGAGCGTGAGCTGCGGGGCGCTCTCTGCAAACGTCTCTATGATTCGTAACATGCTCAGATCGTGGTTCAACGACACGGCTATGCTCTCGGAATCAGGCTCCTGTTCATCTGCAGAGGAACCCGTATGTCGGCTGGCACCATTCTCAGGGTCGGGGATCTTCTTGTAGAAGCTTTGCACGGCCATTTCCAGGACTCCTGCATGCCTGCGAAACAGGAAAATATGAAACATAACCAGTTAGACTGAATCCTCCCGTCAAATATGCTGCATTGAATTTCTAAGGAAGCATGCACGAGAGAAGAAAACTACAATCCAAATAATATCAGGTTCACCCACTCAGCATGGAGCCAGGAAGGAGATGCATTACCTCATCAGCTCAGCTATTGTAAACCAGAAAACTGAGGCATGACTCATGTTTCAGATATTTCCCAGGTCTCAACTACGGGTTTACACACAGACTTATATAAAGCAGGGCGAAACGAAACCAAAAATGTAATCTGTGGATAGTTTATTACAGCAGACAGTCAGGTGCACAACATTGTAGTAACCGTAGATTGTCAGTCTGCATTTCCTGTATGGGACGGTCAGGGTGGCACCCTTAGATAAGCTGAACTTCTTAAGTATTCCCTGCTTACACCTACTTAAAAAACAAAAACAGGCACTTTGCACTTATAGTTATTATTATTAAAAAAAAACAAAAAACTACCTGAAGTAGATTCCCAGCTGAAATACGTGGAGCAGCTTGAGCTGCCTCGGGGACGGCAGCTTCTCGACCTTTGTCTTCCTCTCAAACTCGTCATAGCTGTACCAAAGCCAGCTGTAAGCCTGAGTGAGCAGCGACGAGCCCAGGAGAAACAGCACCAGCACACCGAGGTACACGTAGGCCCTTTCCTTATAAAAGGACACAGCAGCCAGTACATCCAAAACGACGTCAAGCAAGAACAGCGGCAGGCCCACACAAGTGAAGAAGAAGTCCCAGTCGTTGTATTTATACTTGGTCCGAGTATCTGACATGTTCTCTGCGTGCCTCTGACACAGCTACACGTTAACATTGACAGCTGATTATGATTCAAGCAGCAGTTCTGACACAAACGAAAGCAACGACCAAAGTTCAGCGTTTAAAAACACCTCCTACAGTCTGACCCGCCCATGTTTGCCGTCTTAAAGGCACATTGAGGTATTTCACACACGTACACGCCTGCTATTGACAGCCGCCCCTTTAACATTAACTGACGGTATTTCCACACAGAAGTTAATGGCTTACAGTAAAATCTAAAGTAAATCTAGTAAAAACAAACAAATAACAAATAGAAATTTTTAACAAATGTGTATTTTTATTGCAGGGAATAGGTTAAAGTTTAACAACAAACACTGAGCCTCACTTTTGATACTCGTCGACAACATGAAAAAACGTGGATTCAAACACTGTCTCGCAGGTTTTTTGTAATAAAATGCCTCATATATTACAAATAATTCTGAATCTTTGCTGAATCTTTAGGCCAGTACACGTACTGAACTTTGAACTAAGATTAAAGTAAACAAAGTTGTTTTTTGTTGTGTTTTGTTTTGTTTTTTAC